GTTCACTGGCTCCTGCATCGCATTAGAAAAGCAAATTCCTGCAATCATTAATTTTTTATCATCGTGTGATATTCGTACGCCATGTGATATCAAATAACGAATAGTCCTTCCTGAAATTTAAACTTGGGTAGCGCACTGTACTGTACCCTTGCCCACAATAGCCATATATGCAGGGTGCAACTCCGTGGTTTTCGGTGTCAGATTCACTTTGCATCTTTTCGTCCGTTGGAAATACCTCGTGCCGATCAATGACGCTGTTTCTCGGGCTGGTACTCCCCATACGATAGGTTAAATGCCCCCTAGGCAAGTAGGAGCAATTAACCGTGAAATCTGCTATTGAAAGAATCATTCGTTATTTGGTATACTCCGACGTATGAACAACCTATGATGTTTGCATGCTAAGAGTGCCGACGCCTGAAAAATTATTTGTGATGAACACGAAGCGGCTCCAGCATACGAATTGATGCGGTGGCCTGCTTAAATGGTCTCCTAGACAATAGTGAAAAACTACTATTAACGGTGGTGCAGTATGCCGTTAAATCTGGTTTCGAAGAAATCATTTCTCAATCATTTTTTAATTTTGTTTTTGTTTTTTACTACCTGCTTTGACCTGATGTGAATCATCTGCTCTGTCTGTCAATTTCCTTGGCTTAACTGCCATTCGAGATTTATTTGATTTATTTTTGTGGTGAATTTCTACTACAAATAAATGTCGAAGTATATATCTTTCTAAAACCGGAAAATTAGCGGTAGCATCGAATATGAACAACTCTGTCGAGCAGTGAAACATCGTTTTTCCCATCCCTTTGCGTCGTTTATATTTTGGTATGAATATCTTTCCCGTCAATCCGTTTGTTCTAAAAGTCATTAGAAGATTCCTCCTTCTTATCGTCGTACAATATGCTAATTCCGTACTATAATGGGGACCAATAGCAGGTAGGGGGAGTCCAAATCTTGGAGTATATTTGTTTGGTGTTCTACTAAGTACTCGGTAGAGCACAAAACTCGCAGTTCAGTTGGCTGGCAGGGGTCCAGGCTGTTTTGGCGTTTTATTCTTGCTAAGTGCACAAACGAATGCTTTTTTCCACTCCGTGTGCATTGGACTGGTGATACGTTCTGCGACTGTCACCCTATTTGTATAAAATGTGTTTTAAAATAAGGAACTTTGATTGGTGCTACAGAAAGAAACATCTGGACTGACAGTCATGGAAATTCTTTGACAGAGTGTAAGAAATTCTGACACACGCAACGGTTGCCAAATTTCTTTCGAATTTTCAAAGTTCATTACGGTCTTTAGTTGCTGCTTTTGACATCTGAATTGTGTCAATTTAACACCCTTGTGCACTCAGACCCAGGTGTATGTGTAAGCATTTCATTTCAGCATAAATGCTAGTTTTCAACTGAGGCTAATTTTATTCCCTCCACCACTTTTCCGGGAATCCACCACCATTCATTCCAGAAAATGTATCCATGTCCTAAGAGAGCTTTTGTCTTTCGGGTCGAATCTCGTTCAAGTAACTTGAAATCACGTTCTTGCTTCGAAACGTATCTCCTCAACTGACGACCCATACTTGAAGTTCAATTTAGATTCTGTATCCACGTGACTACGAGATTCGCCCGAAAACTTGCGTTGAAGTTGTGTAAGTTATGGAATAAGTAATTTTCGCATGAAACATTGCTTTTCAGAACACAAGCTCGGCACTTCTAACAAAAAAGTGTGCAACGACCAAGTTCTGTTAATTTGCGAGGCAACGATAACCGGCAGCGGCATGGATCCTTATGCTTTTGCAGCAATTTCTCTTAAGAGAAAAAATTCTGACCCAAGCGAAAAAACTGAAGGTTCTTCGTTCAAACTAAACCACACGAAAATGCTCTGCAACTGTTTCGCCTGCCTGCCGTCAGTAGAAAACATTGCGGGGCATGGAAAACAATGAAATACCTCGTTAAACCAGACTTCCTTGCAAAAGTAGGAACTCTGCCACAACAGTAATCGTTGCCTAATATCAATCCGATGTGTCATTTTAACGGTCAAACTTCATAACTGTGTGTTCCTCAACTGTTTAAACTCAGCTGACTTCGGGTCGCGAGGAGAAGCCATTAAAAACAACAAACTCTGAGGAAAATACCCTCAAATGCAACTTGTCGAGACATTTATTTTAAAGTTGATCACTATTGGCCAATTATGCGGGAAGGTTAGATTTGTGAATGAATGAATGAAACTTCTACCTGTTACTGACGATTATGACGGGATTTTGCAGAGATTTAACAGTCGGTAACACATCATATTGTCTCGCTCATATTAATTGCTCATTCAACAAGTTTGCTGTCATAGGCGATACTGCTTTACAGAGCACAATTCTGTTATCATAGTATTTCGTCAAAACAGCAATTCCATCCCCTCCTTAATAATGAGGCTAAACTGGTTTCGGAAACTCAGCAGAGAAAAAATGATTAATATTCAGTACTAATGGACACAGCCGGGTGATCAATGTTAAGCTTTTCGTGCAATGATTAAAGAGGAGCTAGTATTACACTGAAACTTCAATTGCCAAATTAAGACCTTGGTATCGGTTCTCTGGTTGTTGCTATAACCGTCAAATGTTTGCCATCCCTCTTCTAGCAGAAGATATGTAATCAAAATGAATTTTACAATTTAACCATATACAGATTAGCATAATGATCATACGAGTTAACATCAATCTGTTTTGGAGGTCACTAGCGTTATGTTATATTGCAAGTGCTTTCCATATTCCAAAGTTTGTGTCTCTTTCACTAAAAGAACACAACATCCATCTAACGTGGTCACAGTTGGGGCTACTGTGGTAGTCATGAATGCTACTTTCTGACGTTAAAATCATCGACAAATTATCCTTTTGTAACAGACACCGTTTTCCGTATTTGCGGTGATAGATCTGGTAATGGGTGCTGAATGACTTGGAGAAAGCCTTCAAGGAAAGTCGAGCAGAATT